AAAGAACGTTCTTTGTTCTGCTTTTTTGATGACGTTTTTGATGTTAGGTGTCCATTTTAAGTCTTGAGATATGATATTTGGTGACTTAGGTAACATCAGTGTGAGAGAGGGTGACATTTGTTGCCTGTTTATGTACAAGCTGCTTGTCCTGCCAGACTGGTGAGGGTGTGGCGTTAGATGAAGTCAGCCATGTAGATGTCCCATGTAGAAAAAAGGGCCTTCTTTCAAGAGGCAACTGGACTTTCTGTGGTGGGTTTTTTTTTCCTGAAGACGTTTTGCTTCTCATCCAAGAAGCTTCCTCAGCTCTGACTGGATGGTGGGGAATGGAAGGATGGATCCAGTCCCCACCGTCCAGTCAGAGCTGAGGAAGCTTCTTGGATGAGAAGCAAAACGTCTTCAAAGAAAAAAAAAAACAGAAAGTACAGTTGCCTCTTGAAAAAAAAAGCACCTTTGGAACATAACATGACCTGGATGACTGAGAATCTCCATGGACTTTCAGCCATGTAGTTGTTATCCACAGAACGAAACCAGCCACAGACAGATAGATAGGCCTTCTTTAATGTCCAGTCATTAAGTGGCGGCGGCAAGGGACATGTGGGATATGTCCTCGTAGTTTTAGTTATAGTAGCGTTGTGCTATCATGTACAGGTTCTGGCAATTCACTTAACAACTGTGGCAAAAAAATGTCGTAAAAAGGGGCAAAACTCACTCAACAATTGACTCCCTTAACAACGGAAATGTTGGGCTCAATTGCAGTCGTGAATCGAAGACCCCTTGAAGGGGGTAAAAAATAGGAAATTTGGAAAAGTATTTGGAGGGGAGGAAAAAAATATCTTTAATAAATCTTAAGATTTTGCTTCGGCTAAACAAGGCAGAAGCTGTAGGGGGAAAGCCATTTTATATAGATAAGGGCCAACCGTACCACTTACCCTATTTTTTGGACTATAAGATGCACTGATGTATAAGACGCACCAAGATTTTGAAGAGGTAAGAAAAAAAAGGTTTTTGCCTTCCCTCAGCCTCCAGCAGCACTCTGCAGGCTTCAGCAGGGCTGGGGGAAGACAAAAACGCCATTTTTGCAAAAAACGGGTCATTTTTCACAAAAACGAGGGGCGCTTTTGCCTTACCCCAGCCTTACCTCTGTTGAAGCTTGCAGAGTACTGCAGAGGGCTGAGGGAAGGCAAAAACGCCTCAGTTTTTGTGAAAAACAGCTTGTTTTTCACAAAAATGGGATGGGGGACAGGACTTCGGGGAGGCCCAAAATGGCTGTATTTGTTGTATAAGACGCACCAACATTTCCACGCTCTTTTAGGATGGAAAGATGCGTCTTATACGTGATAAATATGGTAGTACACCTCTCCCACTATCCGTGGCACGACAAAACCGCGGCCGACTAAGCCGCGCCTGATTAAACCGCGTCGCTGACGTCATCAACAGGGCGACAACAGCGCGGAGAAGCAGCACACTGTAAACGCTAAACCTAAAATTAACCTCTAAACCTAAACCTACCCCCCCTAAACCTAATC